TTTTTTGATTTACGGTATTTTCTTTTTTTGACGTTTTGAGCTCTTTTGTGTTTATAACAATATATACTAAATTTTAAAGTATCAAACTGAATTTTTGTTCAATAAAAATCTTTCAAATGCGACTGTAGCTTTTTTTCCCAAAAAACTCTGTCTTCAATATAAGGGTGCGTCTTATATTCCGAAAAATACGGTACATATCAAAAACCTAAACTTAAAACGTACGGTCATGATAGCTACTTCACGAATCACTGTATTTGTCTCTTTCTCTGTATTATAACACGAAGGGTCAGCAGTTACAAAAACTGGCAAATGAAATATATCGATTGCACTGCTGTAAATAATTGTTTTCCTTCGGATTAAATGTAATGGGTCACGGAATTAAATATGTGAAGAAGCACCTCGATACGGTTTATCTTCTATCATCTGAAAGAAAAACTGTAAGTCTCCCTATTCGGGTACCATAATTTTATATATAATTAATGCTGATAACATTTACCGATCATGAGAGCCGTATTATGATATAGGAACATCAAAAATAGCTGAATCCGCGATCAAAAACTTTCGCGTAAAATGTTCTTCGCATCTTGCTGAAATGTATATCTTGGGTTGTAAAGCTTTTCTGCAAATGCAAAAAAAACAAACACCTATCATAATTTGCACGAATAAAGATACTAGTCATTAGTCAGCCTCTCATGTGGATTTATGATCTTAAGTTTCAACTTTTACACTTACAAAAAAGAAAAAAAAATGGCCAGGTGGTTAGGGTGCTCTACTCGCAATCCGCGGGTTCGAATCCCCGTCCCACCAAACATGCTCATCCTTTCAGCCGTGGGGGCATTATAATGTGAAGGTCAATCCCACTATTCGTTGGTAAAAGAGTAGCCCAAGAGTTGGCGGTGGGTGGTGATGACTAGCTGCCTTCCCTCTAGTCTTACACTGCTAAATTATGAATGGCTAGCGCAGATAGCCCTCGCCTGCGCGTAGCTTTGTGCAAAATTAAAAACAAATACTTAAAAAAACTTACGATATCAAAGTTTGCGACTGAAATTATAATTAATACATCATTAAGCCAAGGAATCATCTATGACTTAATCATTTACGCTTATTTTTTATTGGTATATGGAATAAAATTTTGTGCGACAAGAATACATTATACTCACTAAATTGTAAATATTCGTCTCATATGCCTTAATGACTAATATCATGTGATGAAAGGCCATCAAACACCATATCTAAGGTTAATTGTCAGCTATCAATTACTATTAGTTTGTCAGTAAATACATTGGTTGTGGTATACACAAAGATAATTTCTTAACTTTTAAAAACTTGTGTCTTTTAAACAAGTATATGCTCACACACAGAAAGTAAAAAAATATTGAAATCATCAAATTTGATAGAGACATTCTTATTACTGTTGTTGGCACATATTTACATAAGATCAATAAAACATAAGTCATGCATTAATAGATTTACAAACAGTTAACAATATTGGACTTCACTTCCACATTGGATCAATCAATTATTAAGTATTAATCAATACTTAAATGCAGCATCATGCTAGTTTTTCTTTATTCTCTAGGTAGGGAAAGAAAAGTTTTACTTTTCTAAAGCAAATATAGAAATAAAGTACATTTATAATGAAACAAGTGCTTATGTACAGTAGTTTTCAGAATGTCCTTTGTTATTGTAAATAGGAGTTAACTTATTTTCAACATAAACATGACACAGTGGTGTTCTCTGCTGATTACTTTTGAAAACTATCACAATTTTTATTAAACTAAAACTTCACTGCAAATTAACGTTTTTGTCTACTTTATGCACATCTGCTCCTAACGTACAACACACATGCATATGCACACACACACACATATATATATATTCATTTTGACCAATAAAAAATGCAACCTCATTACCATATGGTTCAGTTCAGTATAAAATTTTTGTTGCAGTCAAATACTACTTACCGACATATTAAAAAACAAATATGTCTGTGGCATTTAGATATCAATACTGTCCGTTCATGATTTTATTATCTATGCATAACATGCATGTTATGCATAGAGTAAATACACTATATCTGGCAAACATGTAGCATTTTGTATATATCATGGATTCTTCCCAATTGATTTTACAATCATCACTGTCCTTTTACCACACTTCATAAAATAATTCATTAATTTAGAAGGGTAATTGTAAATAGGTATTAAAATATATTCATAAACTTTTGTAATCATTAGCATTTGAACTAACCAATAATTTATTCCTTCTGAAATTTTGTTCAAATCAAAGAAAAAACTCATTATTGAATGAATAGTGCAATTATAACATTAATAAGTAAAAACACATGGACTGTGAAGATTTCTCAGCTTGCATCAATGTTCAAAAATAAAAGGATAATACTGGACCATTAAAGAGTTTAAGTAGAATCTTTAATGTGGAAAATTATAACATTGTTTCAAGCAACTGTTTTTGCTAATTAAGAAAAAAGCTGTCAAATCTGATTAGTGTTTTTAAATTTGGGACGACAGGAAGATATTTTCATTAAATTCAATAGGAGAGAGTTGTTTTGAAAAGCTAAAGTAATATCTTGAATTTTTTTTTTAATTTTGAAGAACTGATCCTTGATATTTCTACAGTTAATAGACATCTTCCTATAATGGAGCAGTGGCACAGCCATCTATATATCTATCTATCTATGTATGTGACCGACATAATAAATACAATGATGCCACCTGTTCTGCTGAAATACAATAAGATCTCAATGCTAGAAGCAGTGGGTGAGGCTTATCAAATGTTGCGCCATCTGTTGAATGGCACCACAAACAAAAAATCCATAAAACATTTTCACACTTTGGGTATTCAAGATTCAGATAGTTAGAAAAATAACTATGGTATGTGCAACAACCATTTATTTATAACAGAACACAATTTTAAATAAAAGTACTCTTCTCACAACACGACTTTCACTAGGACTCTACTTGAGGGTTTGATTATATATGTATTGATGTAATTTTTAAATGTAGTTCTAAAAAACTGGTGTTTTTAAAAATATATTATTTTTTCAATAAAGTGTAGCTCTTTTAATATATAAAAACATTAAAGTTTATATCAGTAAAATTTATGAAAATTTTGAGCTCTGTACATTGAATCATCTTGATACAATGAGTTGTGTATGACTAAAGAGCACAATCCGAACACTTTTCCCGTACAGTAGTACCCAGAAAGAAATACTTTTTTAGAAAATGTTTACTTTTTTTTAATTTTTTACAATAAGGTACGAATATTAAAATTACTAATTACTAGCACAAAGGCACCCATAGGGTGGCATTTCTGCTAGACAGAGAAATTACTGATGATTGGAAGAATACTTACCCGATTCATAGCAAGTTTAAAAAAGAAAGTCTAGTAAAAACCTAGGCAATCAGAAGTCTTATCACTTTGAATTCTGTTTCTGAAAAGATGAAAAAAGGCATTTAAAGATTACCATGAACAATAATCAGCATGTTTTTAGACATGGGTTTTCCTGCCTTACTACAGAAATATGTAAGGGTGACACACTGTCCTGTAATATTATAGATTTTTCTGAAGAAATGAAAATTGAGACCAAGTTATGCAAAATCAGCTTATAAGATTCAGAATCCATCTATTGCTAATTTTGTTTTTGAAACCATATACATGTTTAAGAGTGACACTTGCCTCAATAATTTCAATTATACAAGTTAAATAGTAATTTTGTTGATGATATTAATATGCTGGGTAAGAATGATATTTTTGAAAACATATTTTATTCAAAAAATCTGGATTATGTAATTCAATAACAAGACAGTAAATGATGACAATGTAAGTAGTGATAAAAGCTATAAACTTTTGTTTCAATATTTAAAGGTGGTAAAAGAAAGCTAACATTTTTAGGTCTATTAAAAGAAAGAACAGATGATTAGAAGAAAACACTGCATACAAGGATGTTCAAAATTCAAACAAAATTATTGACCTTACAATTTATGTATTGAAACATTTAAGATATGAAGAAAGATTCAAAGATACAAACTTGTATCCTCTGGTATACAGAAGAACTAAAGATGACCTGAATTAAATGTTTAAAATCATTAAGAGTTTGGATAAAATGATATTCTGTCATCTAGTCTTTGTTTATGTTTGCAAAACAATTTTTAAATACAACATAGTTTTGCACAATTATGGATGTTATTGTTTAACCACCAGAGATACCAAAAGTATGCATATTAAGATATTTCCTTTTCAGTTAACATTTTCTAGACTGCGTATGCTGTGACAAACTCTAGTAAACCAGTTCTATTACTGATAACATTTTTCATACAGCAGTAGTGGATAATACATGTACATTTGATAATGAATAAATTTTGATTATTACAGCGTCTACCTAATTGTGTGATCAAATACAAACTTGAAAATCAGAAGTCTTATTCACCCAGAAAATATTTTTAATTATTTTAGATGTATTTAATGTTTGGAAACATTAATAAAGTTTTGGAAATTACTGAATAGACAAATTTTCAATCTTAACATCCTTAATCCCTTGAACGTATGTTATTGTACTATTTCTCAAGCAAAACTCAGGTGTGTCCAGTTTTGGATTCTTTACTTTAAAAAGGATAATGAAATAGTGAAAAAGAAAAAAAAAGGTGTTGAGAAAACCCATTAATCTGTTAACTTTTTTGAGGATGTTGCTTGATGACAGGGTAAGGATTTGGTGTACTTAGATTTTCAAAAAGCTTTTGATAAGGTGCCATACTGAAGACTAGCTAAGAGAATTACAATAGTGGGGAATGGGGAACAACTGGTTAACTTGATGCATTTTAGGTACTCATAACTTGGGTCACATATTTAGTATAAATGGGAACCCATTCAACAGCATGACTGGAGGAAAAGACCTTTACACAATGGTACATACATCACTCAAACCATTGAGGCAGTGCTCTATTGCTAGTAGTAAAGCTAATATAATTTTATGATTTACATATAAATATACTGATTACAAGTCACAAGACATAATTATTTCCTCATTAAAATTACTAGTTAGGCTTCAACTGAAACAGCGTGTACAATTTTAGTCTATTTATCCAATAGAAGAAATTGATTATTGGTGAGGATTCAGAGAAGGGATACTAAGATGTTTTTAGGGATGGCAGGATTATCCTAGACAAAACATTCCTTGTTACAAACAGTACTTTTGAAATATCATGATAAGCAGTCAGTGGTGTTAGCACACAGATCACCAATATAATAAGGAAATTTCGTTATTATGAAATGAGGTCGAGGTATTAGATATTATAACAATACAAAACATATATTAATGCCCCTAGTAATTACATCAGTTGGTTACACTCTCCAATAAACGTTTTAATTATTGTTACTTTAAAATCAATCAATGTTTTACAAACTTTAAGTTAAGAGAAAATATCTGTCTACAAGGAAGAAGAAACTTAAGTTGAAGTTGGTGAGGACATGGTTGCAGTAATAAAACAACAAACTAGTAGAATTGGACTGGATAAACTGATCTCCCAGACTTGGTATCTAAAATTTTACCCTACTTTTTACATGATTTGGTTACTAGGTAGTTTTGGTTCTGATTTATGCTTTGTATGTATATGAACTGGATGAAACTGGTTGGTTGTCACAAGAAGTGCTGCTTAGAGAAGGTTTGGACTATTGTAGTCCAATGGTATAGCTTAATATTGTTTCTAAGAATTGTGAAAATTTTGATACCAACATGAAATTGGCACATTTGAAGAAGGTCATATGAAAAATCATTTGCTGACAGAGTACCAAACTGAAAAAAATTATGTTTCCATGAAAATGTCCTGTCAATCAGAGCAAGCTAAATTATTCAATAACTATCACCATTACTCTACTACTACTACTCCAAATAAGAACCAGCATATTTAACTGGTGTTAGCAATGGCTTGAGGCAATGTATGATTTTCTGAATCATTGATACTGAGTGAGTATCTAGGAAAAGAGGTCGAGGAGCACTGACACTCACGGACTTGATTTATTCTTCCTGATTGTATGCATGATATGAGACCCAGGATATTGTTTGTGTCTTCTTTGAAGAATCTTGCTCAATCATCATTCATTCTCTTCCATTTGTGTCTCTCCTATCAGAAGTGTCCATCTTCTACTTAATTAGTCTGGTACATCTCTCACTCTCCTCTTCTTCATTGCTTTTCTTTCTGCCTTTTTTTTCTTCCAAGGCATTCTTCATGGTGTCACCATCACACTGCATCTGTGATCCTAAGGCTGGCACAGATGACTCTATTGAATTGGTGGAAACTGGAGATATAATGGTATAGGAGAAAGGCAGAGATTTAAGATATTTAGAAGATGATGAATCTTTTATTATCACTGTTTCCAAGTGTGTGCTTTTTTCCTGCATAACTGGGATGCTGTACAAGTGAGATTCTTGTACCACGAAAGAAGCCTCTTGCAGGAGTCGAGGATGGATTTTAATCAATGTTATCAACTGCAGCTGTTGTAAATACACCTTCACATAATTGTGGAAGACATAACACCCAATTTTCATAAAAGTTTTTGCAAGCAGCATTTGCAAGGTCTGCAGATGGCCATAATAACTTGTCTATGATACAGAAAAGCCCACATAAAAAAAACCTATCTATTAGCTCTCATTTCTGAGCGTTAGCATAGAGCATTACTCCTATGTAGATTGGTAATGGTGTTTTCTGGCTTTTGGTATGCCTTGTTGAACTCGTACCTTGTCATTTGCATTTCATACTGCTAAACTTAAGAAGCTGGGCAATGGTTTTTGCTGCTGGATTGAATGGGTTGGCTGCTTCATCTTTAATATTTGGTCCTTCAAGAACCATGCTGATAAGAGCAAGGAGTGATGTTGAAACTAATTTTCCTGGCAGTCTGATGAGAATCTTCTGTAGAAAGTTCTCTTTTTTTCAAATAATTATCTTGATACAATATAGGTATGCTGTCTGTGCCAAATACACTGCAACCAAGTCACTGTTCTTTAGTCCAGCATTAGACAGATCTTGTCCTATGTCGTTATCAAATATTAAAAGTACCTCTTTTCCTTTTCTGTGTGTTCTGAGACCAAGGATGTGAGTAAAAAGTGTATTCTTTAGTCCTGTTGCATGGATTCTTTGGTCTGGCTTTAAACTCAGCTGTTCAAGTCTTAAGTAAGAGTCTCATACCAAGTCTGTCAGTTTGAGATAGGTGTATTTGGCTTATTTAATTGTGCATACTTTACATCGGAAATCAGTTGATCCAAAACAATTCTGAGTCATTGTTTCACTGTACTACTGTGGTGAATGCTTCTTGGTCTTCTCTATAGTACAGTAAAGATCAACTGCTATCAAGTCTCCTGCATTAATTTTTCATTAAGAGTTGCAGACCAAACAAATGCATGCTTCAGTCAGATCTTCCATACATGCAACCTGATCACAGCAAAGTTCCTTCTGTGTGAGATCTTTTTTTGGAACACTGAGTTGGTAGATGTGTGCATTTGAAGATTCCTGTAGATTCTTTCACTGGATCAGCATCTAGCATCATTCTTTTCATCACTTGACATAACTTACATTTTATCATATCAGTCTTTGCAGGACTTGTGTCACAGAACACAACATTTGAAAAATTTCTGCAATCCCGTCTCCTTACTCAAACTGGACTAATTTTAGAGTTCTTGGAGAAATTTCACTGACACTGTGCATGTTTAATCCATTAACAAATACTGCCAGAACTACTTCCATTTTTTTGGAATTTTGGCTTTAATTACATTTTTTTCTACTTTTGCTATGTTTGATTTTGCTATTGGTTTTACAAACTTATTTCTAAAATGTTTGGCTCTTGGTGTTTCGTTAAATCTCTGTTTCTGTGGACATCTGCAATCACAAGCCATAGTTAAAGCACTCTACTTGTTTTTGTTCTCTTCTAAAGCAATCTCTAGTAATGCATCCCTGTAAATGCATTTAAAAATTTAACACTTTCTGCAATATTTTGCTATACTATTCACGAGCATTTATCTTGTAAATTTTGTTAGTTATTTCATTTTTATACTAAATTGATCTGGAAACACCTGGGGCCACATACCAGTTTCTCTCTAAGTCCCTCTTTTTTAGCTACTTCTATAAACTCTAGTAATGTTGTTCTTGGGGTGTTTGCTTCACTTACATGTAACTTCATTAAATTACTTGCTAAACATGATCATCTACAGGTTCAGCCTTCTGAAACATCTGGAGAGTTAATTTCTCTGGACTCCTAACTACATACTTTATGGTTTGAATGCTACTGTATCCTTAGCCTGCCTGACCTGGAGCCTATGATTTCACTCATGATATTAAGCGAGTCTTTTATCATGGAACAATGAAACCAGCTCCAGACAGACATAATCATCTTTACAAAATGTAGAAATTTTCCTGACTTAAAAACAGAAAACCACAATGAATCAATACACTATCATCTTCAAAATTGGTTAGTCACTGGTAAAGTGGAACTTTCTTACCTTCAAATCACACTTTTCCTTCTCTTCTTTTGTAAGAGCATTTGTAACCATTATAGGTAGATTACACATATACTTCTGACCAATGTTTCTATCATGACACCAAGGTTCAATGGTACATAGGTGCTTTAGCAAGCTGTTGTTGATTGGCATCTTTTTCAGCAAGTAATTTCTAGAATAAACACAGCATGTTGGGCTTTTTCATTGAAGTCTGTCAAAATTCTGTCCTTCTGCAGTATTTTTCTTATCAGATTCTTTGCTTTCACGCCTAAAAATAACCTGCCATTACATAATTTTTAATAATAATTAAGCAGATAAAATTACATAAACATACCCATTACCTAGGAATTTGTAATAGGTTGCAATGATTTTGAAACTGTCAGCCTCTTTCTTTTTATGTTTCAGTGTTTTAAGTGTGATCATCTATAGTTTGTTTTCCTTGACTGCCATATTTCCACTCAGTCTCAGAAGAAAAACAGTATGCTTTGCCCACATCATACAACTTCAATTTCCCAACAAAACTCCTATCTATTTCTGTGTGTAGCCATTTCCAGTTTCACCAAAGCATTCCCCCACCCACCCATTATGTAGCTTTGTGCTTAACAACAAACATAATGACAATATTTCAAGTACTTGGATATTAGGAATAATAAAAAAACTAATTTTGATTGGTTTGTTATTTTCGTAACAATCAATTTAATCATAATTTCAATTGATCAACTGTTAGAAAAAAAACATTATAACTTTTGAGAGTTTAAATTGACTGTTATCATGGGAGATTTAGAGAATTATATAAGATCAAGAGAGTTGCATGGTCAAATGGGAAATTAGAAACTTGAAAAACTAAATGAAAAAAAAAGGTTGGCTAAAAATGTAAAAATTAATTGTACAGATTTCTTTAAATAGATTAAGAGTAAGTAAAATGTCAGGATGGGGCTTTGAGGGATGATACAGCAAGGCTATCTGATTATTGTGATATGGTTGGTTTATTAAATACAACTTTTTCTTCAATTTTTACTAATGAAAATTAAAGAAATATTCATCATCATGAACAGGTGCTACATGGAAAAAAAAAGATTGAACAAAATGATATCACATTAATTCCAAGGTTGTTGAGAAAAAATGGGAAAGTTTAAAGAATGATAAGGCTCCTAGCCTAGATAATATTTCCATAAGGATTTTGAAGAAGGTTAAGGACTGGATATGCGAGTCACTTGTTAGAATTTTTGGTGAATCCTTGAAACAAGATAGGAAGTTGGTTAATGTTATTCCTATTTTCAAGGGAGGTAACAAAAGTTGTCCCAATAATTATAGGCCTATTTGTCTTACATCAGTGGTGTGAAAAGTTTTTAAGTCTGCTAAAAGATACTTTACAAAGTCACTGAACAAAGTTTAAAACTTTATTAGATACTCAGTATGGTTTTATTAGGGGAAATCTTACCTTACTAATCTTTTGACATTCTTTGAAAAGCTTATGTATATGAGGGTACAGGTCTGCATTTGGCATATATGAATTTTCAGAAAGCATTTGAGAAGGTGCCAAATGAAAGGCTTGTTAAAAAACAATTATTTCTACAAGTATGTAGACAGAGATAGATATATGTTGGTTCATTGGATATAAAAATTGGCTGGATGGAAGAAAGCAGAGGGTTGTTATAAATTTTAGTTCAATCAAACTGGATTAATGTCAGAAGTGAGGTACCACAGGGTTCTGTTTTGGGCCCTTTGCTCTATTTAATTTACATCAATATCATAGATGAAAGAATAGTCAATGAATTAATTAAATTTGCTGATGATATTAAGGTTTTGGGTGTTGTTGGTTATATGGAGGATGCTGCTGCTTTACAAAAGATTTGGATTATTTGGAGAGTTGAGCAAATAAATGGCATATAGATTTTGGATATAATAAGTGCAAGGTATTGCATGTAGGATATCATTATTTGAATTATCAGTACAATTTGAATGGGAAAACCTCAATAGTGTTACAGAAGAATATGATCTTGGTGTTCTAGCTGATCACTCTATTAAGCTATCTGAGCAATATGATATTGCTAGTGCAGAGCAAATAGGGTTTTAGGTTGTATCTACATAAATACTGAATAAAGACTAAAGAAGTTATAATTTCATTATATGGGCCATTTGTTAGGTTATATTTGAAGTATTAAGTTCAGTCTTGGGTACTTTAGATATGACACTGAATAATTAGAAAGGGTTCAGAGTAGCATTTCTAGGATGGAAAGGTTGTCATTCAAGCAAGGTTGGCCTTTGGACTGGGTAAGGTGTACAGGGCACCCACCCCAAGGAGCACCAAAATTAGCATTGCAGTTAGCAGTTCTTTTCAATTTAATAAAAAGTTCACACAGTCCACAACTTTACTAGGGCCAGCTCTGCATACAAGAACAGATCTCTCTAATTATCATCTCTGAAAAAAAGAAGGGCTAGAGAAGATATTATTGCACTGTTTAAAATATAAATAAAAAATTTTCAGGGTAGGACTAGGAGTCATCTTCAACTAAAAGGTTTATTTCTCTAACAGTGTGGTTGACCTTTGGAATGGGTTGCCTTCAAATATGGTGGACACAGTTAATTTAAGGAAAGACTTGACAAATATTTAAATGATAAGGGCTGGCTTTGGACATTATATTTTTATTTCAAAGTTTAGTTTAGTGGACATGACAGCTCAGATACGCAAGTCCATTGTGTTTAAATTACATTTATCCTGTACAAGTTTACAAAATGGTTTGTATTTTATTAAACTTCTTACAAATACTATAACATGTTAAATAAGTATTTGGTTGTGCAATAATATATTTGAATTTAGTTTGTGGGAATGTCTGGAGTATAACCTTCTAAGTTCTATCACACCTGGCTTGTCCTTTTATTTTGTAGTCTTATTTTGGACTTCCTAAAGTAAAGAGGGTAAAGTCTAAGCGTGTCATTTATTTATAAATTGGTCTACAGCTTTTGAAACTGAATATAACATAAACCTGATTACGTACAGAAACTTGTATTATTAATTTTATGACAGTTAATATTATTATTAGCTCATGTGAATTTTGTTTTCTATTTTGAAAATTATTATAATATCTCTATAAAAATTTCAGTAGAAATAGTTTACTTTAGCATTCGGCCTATATCAACTGAGTCTAAGTTCAGTAACTGCTACGTAATGATTACAACTTACAGTAAAAAAATAGCAAACGTAAACATATACTTGCTGAAAATTTGGCATACTAATTAAATATTGAGGTACATCCTTCCACCATTCTAAAAATAAAACCATAACACATGATGTACTTTAGTGACATCTGCAGGAGGAAAAGACAAAAGCGATCATTTAATGTAAGTTCTAAAGAGGCCTTTAATCTAAATTGGTTATGTTTGGTATACAACTGAGGTGAATTCAGTTGAACCAGAATAATTTTCAACAGTTATCGTAGACCCTCAAAAATTCATGATATTTCATTATTTGTATAAGAGCATGCATCCTACATTCTTTTTGTAAACTTTTGGTGAAGCTTCTTTTAAAATGATGTGTTCAGTTTGGATCTCTTATTATAAGGAAGTATAGGTATTGGAAATTGTGCAGAAAAATAAATCCGCCAAAATAATACTTGAGTTATTCAGCAAGGTTTAATGAGTTAGATTTGAAGTTCTTTGATGAGTAGAAAAAATAAAATATGGTTTAGTTCAGGAGTTACAAAGGATTAGATATAATTTCCATTGAGTATGGAAAAAATAGGGGTTCGAAGTACAGACTAAAATCTTTGGAAACATGGATCTGAATTTATTTTTTGTGAAATTTTAGAAACTTTTTAAGTGTTTTATTTCACAATTCAATGTGTTTTGCTAGTTTTATTCATTATATGGATATGAATTCAGTTTACCTTTGGTTTTGCTATTAATTTCTCTCAAAATCAACAATAAACAATTTCTTTATTTTTGAAAATTGTCTGGATGATTGGTTTGGTTTGTTTTAAATTTCGCGCAAAGCTACACGGGGGCTAACTGCGCTAGCAGTCCCTAATTTAGTAGTAAAAGACTAGAGGAAATGCAGCTAGTCATCACTACCCACTGCCAACTCTTGGACTACTCTTTTAGCAACGAATAGTGGGATTGACTGTCACATTATAACGCCCGCACGACTGAAAGGGCAAACATGTTAGGTTGGACGGGGAATTCAAGCCAGCGACTTGCAGATTGCGAATAGATCCCCCTAACCATCTGACCATACCAGGCCCTGGATGACTGAACACAGGAAAAATAGTTATCTAAATAATACTAATAGCGGGAACATTTTAAGGGTCTGTTTTGACCATTTCTAATTTATTCTTCGTTATTTGTCTTAATAGTTTGAGTACCCGAATCATAGCTATAATTTATCTAATTTTCTTGATACTACTGAAATACTAAATAACGCTAATAACAGAAGGTTGACTTTGTTGTAAGAGTGATAATCAATCCCTTAACATGGATAGTGAATGGTAGTGTGCTGCTTATTGGTTGCCTTCTTTCTGGTCAGCAGTTAAATTAAGGAGAGTAGCATATAATCTCAATAAATTTGTCATAGATATGAAATACAATATTTGTTTTACTTGTTTGTTATTTAGTGTAAAGTTACACAATGGGCTATTTATTTACTGTTCACCACGGGTATCGAGCCCGGAATTTTATCAATATAAGCCCGCAGATTTACCCCTGAGCCATCAAAAAGCCAAAATATAAATACTAATTGATGGAAAATTCATGTTTACGCAAACTACCTCCCTCCCCCCAAAAGTAATTTTTAAATGTGTTACTAGTATAATTTTAGTATATATTTCGGTAATTGTAAACAAATTTATAGACGGAAATACATCAGACTCATATGAGAATAAGAAACTTGAGTGTGAAAATCCCCATACAATTATTTATAATTGACTTAGGCAGTCTTCATGATGAACAAAAAAGGTAAAATAGGTGGCAACTGCTTAATTCAACATGACACTTATGGAGAAAGTCTTGGAGGATTACTGTACAAAAGTGGAAAAAAAAGGACAATGTTTTGAAAAACTTTGTAGTCACATTGTGCTCTACAATTTAGGGCTGTGGATGAATGATAATAGTGATGGTCAAATCACAATATTCGGTCTGAAAAGAGTAGCTCAAGAGTTTCTGGTGGGTACTGTTGACCAGCTGCTTTCCCTCTAGTTGATTATTTTAAAATTAAGGATGGCTAGCTCAGATAGCCCAAGTGTTGCCTTGCATAAAATTCAACAAATATACAAGTAAACAACCTTCTTCACATACACTTTTATGAAACATTATTTATTTTCTCATGTAAATAGAATTTTCACAGAATAAGTCAGGGATTGTATGGACCCCATAAGACATATTGAAATGTAGTCATATCAGGATCCAATCTTTAAGTCAAAGGGCGAGGACAAAAACATCTCCAGTTTTCAATGGTTCATGATAGTATATGCCCATGTGACAAAGACTGTTTCTTTGCTTGGCTGTTAAAACTTTTCCTTAAGAGTATCAACAGCTGCTACAGAACGAAAATACCTTTCATTAGATAAAACTGTGGCTGGTAACAAACAACTCTGATTATTGGACAGGACACTAATGTTGACATCTTGTTCGATATGGGTAGAATGAATTTATGATAGTTAGGGCAGTCACTGATCTGCATTATCAATGACTGAAAAGACATGACATTCCTTGTTTTTCAAGCTATCAAGAGATGTCCACAATCCAATGTAATGCATTGTGTTATTCCACTTTAATATAAAGTTAGAACAATCAATAGGGCAAATAACCAAGGATTGAAAGAATTTCACAACTTTTAATTTTCGAGATATCAAGCACAATTTCACTAAATGAGATATCCACTAGATGATTGAAAATTCAATGACTGAAAAGGTGTCGTGACCCTTACTTTCTGGGTCATCAAACGAATTTTTTGATGCAAAATGTCATCCAAGATGTTGAGATAATTACTCCTATGATTTAGCTCAGTTGGAGCACATGCTGCACTGTACTCACTAGCTTTTTTTTTATTTATCTGGGAAGTATGCTGGATGTACAAGCAACTAGAGTTATATTAAGGTACATTAGTAACAGTACGAATTTTAATCGTGATTGATTAGGCTTTTAGCTAAAAAAGTCTTAATTGATCCAAATTTTGCCAGTGATTATGTATTTCATTATTCCTGAAACATAAATGAATTGTGCTTAATGGCTCCTAAATGATTGAACCACGCTACTGAGGTCTAGCTTTAAAAGGTAACCTGAACAGTAGGAGCTACAATCTTGAAGTATAGACTGAAGAACTCATAGGATTTCTTTTATAGGTGGAATGCAACAAGCTATTTCAGATAAGATACTAGAGTACTTGACAATGTTTAATGACAGTATAGATAAGTAGCAATATATGAATATGAATATACGTGTCTGGTCTGGCACGTGTATATGTGTACATAAAGCCATTTGTGAATTTTGTATAACATGAATAATCCAATTACATAAAGATCACAATAGAAAACAACGATGGTATGCAGACAAATAATTTTATCTCGATGATAAGAATTGATCAGTACGAGGTTAAGTGTAATAACCAACCTGGAAAGAAATTATAGGAAAAATATAATCCACCTGTTATTTTCATTAATGCTAGTAAGAGAATGTTTCAATTTTGATGCTGAAATATTTAGCAGGTATTGAATGTTCATGGAAGAGATAAAATTAATTAAGAGACTCACATTTCATTTGAGAAAAGAAAACAGTTTTATCTGTGTCACATAGAACAAAGTTTTACCAAGTAAAATAAATAGTAATGCAATAAATATTTTCATTGGTTCAAGTTGAAATATTATTAAGTAGGTGCAATTATCAGTAGTAAATTAAATTCACAAATAGTAGCTAAATCTCATAACAAACATAAACTTGATGTGACCAGTTTAATGGTTTAGGTAGAATATTTTCAGCCATGCAGACTGAAATATTTTTCATCATCTTACTGTTTTCTAATTATTTCTTTAACAATGTTTTAATTCAAGGTGAAGTATTAAAGTATAAAAATCCAGGTTGCCAATGTACTAGGGAAGAGGTGGAAAGTAAAATTTCCATGGTAAAAAATTGCAAATCGTGCCCAAAACATTTATACAAAATGTAAAAGAATAGAAATCCTAAAAAAAGACAATTATAGGATTGGTGAGGGCTAATGGTCAAAGAGAATGTTAACATCACCTGACTTGAGTCAGCTTGAATGTGTAGAAACTTGTTATAGTCTCCACCACCATTCCTTTCTACTGGAACTGAGCACTGTATGTTGCAACCAGATAGTAGGAGGATGAATAAGGCCGGATTGGAGAGTGTAGAGTGTGTTTCAGTTGTGTGGCAGAGACTCATAGAAGCAAATATAATCTACTAGGCACTTTTTTCCTGCCTTGAACTCATCTCCCAACTACAAAGGAAGGCAAGAAGGCCAGGGCTTCCTCTACAGTGAGAGAACCAATGACGTTAGTAAATCTTGGATTCCAGGAGCCGACTTCCCCTTTAACATGACTGAAGATTCATTGTTTGTTGATGTGTCAGACATGGGAGGGATCATCCTGTGTGTCATCAAGTTAGTTCTAAAGTCACCAGGAGCCAAGTGTTCCTCTTCAGTAGTGAAGGAACCAACTATTACCATTGCTAACCTTGAGGATGTTCCTGTTTCTGAAGGCACTATGACAACTACCACTATGATGGAGGAACTTAGTTTGCAGTTAGTGCAGCATCATTCTACCTTACTTCTGCTGATTCTACTGAAAGAGGGGTCAGTAATTGATAAGAAGAAGAGATGGGGTCTGGTTGGATGTTCCATTGGAAGATGCACCATCATTACCCAGTAAATGTGCCAGTCGCGTTAATACCCCCAACAGGATCCCTATATTCCAAAGCTCAAGAAAAACTATCTGGATCTTGCATCCTCTTGACTAAATCTCACGAAAGCAAAGACAGGACAGGTACCATTGAGACAACAAAGCCTGAAGTCTTCTCTACTATTGCCACCGCAATGATGGCAGTGTAGACAAGGCAGCCAACTATAGAACCAGTACCACCACAAGTCACACAAGTGTCTAGTCCATTGATTTTTCACACAACTTAAAACTCAGTTATTAGTTAAATTAAGACTGCTTCACATATTTCCTGCTCGATCCTCCCATTATTAAGCAGATCTAGCTGATAATTGTACAAAAATAATTTTACCTGAGAATACCAAACTATCATTCAGAAGAACTAG